GGTAATTTTATTTTTGGGTAACGTAATAAAGTGTTCGGCTGCGAAACAATGTTCAAATTTTCATTTTTAGAAGATAATTGTTCACTCACTAGTGTTTCTAGCTTCTGTTTTAAAGATCTCCATCGATCAATATACATTTCTGACTCATCTACCGCTTTCTCTGTTTCGGTATCGGAAGTATTTTCAGAATATAACAAATGTTTATATTTCTCTTCACATGCTATCATTAATAAAGCTTTCTCTTCAATTAGCTTTAATTTATTAATTTTATCAGCACGATTTAATTTGATTTCTTCCTCGTCAAAAGTATTACATGCTCGAGTAAACAACCTTCTAAGTTGCTTTTCTCATTACTTAAAACGAAAGTAAACAATAGAACAAACTCGAAAAACGTAGATGTTAAAATTCAACTGTTGCCAATCGCGATTTACTAAATTACATCAAAATAAAGATAATAATCAGGCAGAGGTTCAACTTCACAGAAGTTTTTCATTGCGATGACAATGCCCCAATCATCAATCAATTAACGAGCGAAATCTGTAGTATGGTTGTAGATCCAGAAAATACCGCTTCCGATAGGTGGAACTTTATAACTGAACAAGAAATTATGTCTGTTTATAGAATTAAAGAAGAAGTATTAGCACAAAAAAATGAAGCAACTTAAACAACTTACATTGAAAGAAATGTTTAATACAGTAAACAAATAAATATTACGCCTTTTTTTTTTTTTTTTAATTTTGATACCCTTTAGATCATAATTGCTCTTTATTTCATAAATTACGGTTTTGTATTTTTAATTGTATAATTTCTGCATGCCATCTAACCAGATTTAAATTGATGATCTATAATCTAGAAAAAAACCCTCCGAAGTCCCGACGAGTCTGGATTACGGACTTTGTACTGTATTGCCTAAACATTTGGAAACATAATGGCTTTGATATGTTTTGCTGCCACTGGAATGAGAAATTTACTTTTTATAGAAAATAATATGGATCATTATAAATATATGAAAAATGTAATATATCTTAATGTATATTATTATATCTTAATGAAATATATTAAGATATAATAAGATACATTAAGATAATTAAAATAAATATATTAATGCAATATATCTTAACAGAAATCTGGAAGAATCTACAAGAAGGCTTGAAATGTAAAATACATTGAAGCTATATCAGGATAATGATCCTGTTTTTCAGAATTGAATTTTATCAAGTATGTAAGGAGTGAGTTGGGGAAAAGAAAACTTGACATTTCTTCAAAAGCTCTGTTTATTAAAAGAAATTCTTACAAAAGAATAGAACATTCTTGATATAAAAATTAGTTAAACCCATGTCAAAATGAATTCAAAGTGTTATTTTAATTGAAGGATATCTAATACAGTATTGAATGTCCTGATATTTTCATATTAAACATAAGCTTATTGCCTGAATACTTATTTATGTGATTTTATTTTCAGAACTTTTTTAATGTATTATTTTTTTAATCAAAATGTTTTAAATCACTTGAACACAAGGAAGTTTAAAAAAAAAAATGATCAATAGTATACATGGAAGTAAAAACAAAATCATTTTGCTAACATTGTTAGCTGACATTTGCTAATAAAACTGAAAATTTTTTAAGTGTCTGAAAACAGATATGAGCTACTGTGAAGAGGGGATCTGTGTACAGAATATTAAAAAAAAAAAAAGTGGTTACAGACTCAGACTCCAACTGGTATGCATTCTCTCTAGTAGCTGTAGATTCTACGGAAATTCCTTAAAAACCGTGAATTTGGAAGTTACCTCAAAAACTACAGATTTTATTCAGAGGGTGGACAGGGGAAATAATATGCAAAATGGAACCAACTTATTCCCGTTATGATTGACAAAATAATTATTACATCACGTATCAGGTATTAATTTGATGGGCTTGCTGATTTCAAAGATTTGCATAATCAAACACCCTGCAGTAAAGGGTTTGTATACCTTGCAGGTCTCGTTCGTTTATATTGTGGTGAGAAAATGTAGTGCTGGCTTCTCGTGAGTTGTGATTAAGCTGGAAGTTTTTAAAATTTGTTAATAATGTCAGCTCAGAATAAGAGGCTGATATTTAAAAACTCAGATTCTGCAGAATTTCCATTCATTAAAACATCTAAAGTTTCTGTAAATCATGCACTATGTGCTAGCAACAAGGACTTTTAAGTTGCTCATAACGCAAAAGATGACTGTAAACAGTATGTACTTTCTCAAAAGTATAAAGAAATTAGTACTATGAAATCAAAGGAAAATAAAATTTCTTCATAAAAGACAGTGAAATGGTTGTTATAAAAGCTGAATGCTATTTAATTCAGTTTTTAATTGAACACAACTTTCCAATTTCAGTTTTGAGCCATTCAAAGCAGTATTTCCAGAGGCTGCTATAACAAAAAAGTATTCCATTCAAAGGCAGCCTGTGAAATATTTTTTTTTTTTATTATTAAGAAAGTGGGGATCAGACTGTGTTTTGGCCAAATTTAGGTATGAAAACTCTTGAAACCATTCTCATTAAAAAATTAAACACGCAGGCAAATGCAGAACAATGCTACACAAAAATCTTATCTAACTAGGAACTTAAGCTTGCAAAACATGCTACTTATGAATCTTTACATTCATAATTTATAAATGAATTATAAGTACTTTTGTTGATGATTATATGTGTATTTCTTGTTTTTGTGTAGAATTTTTTTATTGTTTTTTTATTATTGTTTCTCTAAAATAAGAATCCAGAAACTTCAAAGATATATAGATTCTGACTTCCGATATGATTACTTGTGATTTAAAATATTTGTTTCAGTAATATACTAGCAGATTTAGTGTTACTTCTGCTTAGGTATTAAAATGAAAAATTTTTTATGTAAAATGAATTAAGTATGTATATAATTTTAAATAAATATTTTTATTCACGTTTTATACTTGTATTTATGGATTTTAAGTTAAATGTAATTAAACTTACCTTCACATTTCAAAGTTGTAAAAATGTCATTCGTGCATTGACTACTAACATGTTTTGCTTTAGGTTAGAGTTTATACAGACTTTACTTCTTTAATTAATGATCTTAGAATGTACTTCCAATTACAAGTGAATATTAAAACAAATTTAATACTTTTAGTAAGTTGACAGCAGCCATATTGTAAAGTTGCTGAACACTAGCAGTTTGTCCTGGGTTTGATTCCTGGTAAACAGGCTGGTTGCATGTTTTTTTTTGCTTTCCCACATGTGTAACGTGAATGCAATCCAGTTTTCCTTAGAAAGTCTTCACAAAGGCATTCTTTCCTGTACGTAGATAAGCCTCATGGGCTTTCACATAATCAAATACACCAAACCAGTACTTTTAATGGAGGAGTTTATAACTTTGATGTAGTATGCTTATTCAGTATGCTTTAATGACTTCAATACAAAATGGTTCTGTTTCTGAGCAGTTAAATTTCACAGAAATGTTACAGAAAAAGTTTACTTATTTAAATAATCTTTCAGTAGATGTTTATCTCCAAACTTGGATATTTTATAGAATTTTGACCAAGTTTAGAAAGCAGTTTTAATAGAAAAGTTGCTTGATTTTGATGATTATGAATTACATATTAAGCACTGGCTAGTAAATTTGCAGCTGAACCTGAGAAAATATTAATTACAAATATCTGTGAATTCTACACATAAAAAAATCAGAATTTTGGGAAAATACGCTTGGCTTAATAAAGCATAATGAATGTATTACAAATTAGACATTTTCTTTTTTAACAACCAATTAAAATTAAAATTTTGTACTTTAAGAACATTCCTACTAGTAGTGATGAAATTTTCTGGAAAAACTTTATCTTAAAAAATATTGTAATAAGAAACCCATGCCTATGAATAAGCATTTTAAGGAATTAAAACTGGTAGCCACCTTTTTTATCCATTAGTCTTCACTATGTTTGAAATTTTATACTGTATATTTCAGAATATAAGCTGATCTGTGTATAAAATGAAAGTGCGTTTTTTCCTCAAAAACGTATCCACAATTCAAAACCTGCATTTAAGCCGAAATGGAAAAAAATTCCTGTATCATTCAAACATGTTTTCATGAGGGCAAAACTATTATGAAGCAGGTAAAACCTTCGGATGTTTTTCATAAATTTCAGAAATCTAAAGTAAAAATGAAAAGGTTTGATATTTGACTATGATAACTTAGTTCCTGCTAATAGAAAAGTATCTTTGTTTTTTGTAAGGTAGTGGATCCATGTATAAAACAACCCCCGTAATTTAGCTTTAGAAAAAAGTCCAAAAATTCTCAGTTTATGCACAGAAATATATGGTATATCAAGAATACAGAAAGTGGGGTACAAATTTTCCCAATATCAGATTTTTTACTTTGCCGATGATGCACCAAACCAGCATTATAAACAGTTTTGAAAATAAAAATACTCATTTTCATAAAAAAATATCTCATTTCATTTAATTTTTTCATAAACTTAAGAAATACAAACTAAAGCAATAAAAAAATGTGATATTTGTCAATGATCACTTAGTCCTTGCTAACAAAAAAATACCTATATTTTTGTGAGATAGTGGATTTGTATATAAACCAATCCCTGTAATTTAGCTGTAGAAAAAGTCAAAAACTTCTGAGTTTATACACAGAAATATATGGTATATCTCAGACATATAAAAGTCAGCTATGCCGTTTAATATTTTTAAGAATTTGAACCATTGTAATTTTTAGCTTCCTTTAATTTTTCAGGAGTTTTTAATGATGATAAATTATTAAAATGAGCAGAATTTTTTACTGATCCCAATGTGAGTTTTTTAAAATAATTTTTCAGTTTTAGCATCTGTAATCATAATAGTATTTAAATCAAATTTAATGTGTAACCAAGAAATAACTCTTTTAAATTTGAGAGCTTAGCTGTTTCTAACCAAACACATGCTACATCTAATAACACATATACCATACATCTTATATTTGCTATATATTTGTGACATAGTTTCTTACTTTTTAGGTCAGCAACTTCGTTTTACCTTTGAAAGTATTTCAAAGCCAAGCTGCTCAAATGAAGAAAGTGGTCTTGATGATCCAGATTTTATACAGCCATCTGTAGGATATATTGGGAATTGCACAAAAGACTGTAAAGATATTGAGATACATAATTCTCAGGAGACTGTAATTTCAAATAGAACAGCATTTTTAAACAGAAGTATTTCAAATGAAGAAAGTTGTGTCAGTCAAAATTCTAAAGATTCAGCTTTCTCCGAATCAGCAAAATGTGATTGTCAAATGGATAATCCCATTGATTATGTTCCCTCATTTCTGAATGTGTCTGAAGCAACAAGTTCAGAATATAATTTAGGTGATAAAAATATGCCCTTTAGAAAGCTCAATTCTGTTCTTAACTCATATTGCAGTGAAGCCAATCATAATTTCAGCTCAGATGAAGACCTTTTTATTGCCAAAAAATCATCCTATGCTACAGAACGGTGGATGAAAAATAGCAATCATATTGCAAAAACATGTTCTAAAAAGTACTCTATAAAACGAGACAGATTCACTTATAGAAGGTATTCAGATGTTGAACCTCATTATAGGAATAATAGCTATTTAGAAAATCATAGGCATTCTTTTGATAGTGTTATAGAAAACAAGAATGCACACTGTACAAATTTTTTATCTTCTACAAGTTTACTGTCAGACAACCAAAATATATCTCAAACTTGTGATAATTCATGTGATAGAAGTGGAGCATATAGGAGGAATTTTCCACGTGAAATCAAAATGCCAATAAATATTAAAAAAATATCCAGCTCTGGTGAATCATGTGCTGATACTACTACTCCTAATACACCAAAGGTAATAAACTTTTTAACTAATATTTTTTATGGTAAACATGCTTGATTTTTATAATAATAAAAATGTGTTAGTGCAATCATTAAAAACAAAACGCTTTTGAATCAGATTTTCTTAAATTAAAAATACAAAAGTAATATTCACCACTTTGAAAAGTGTGTTTTAACAGTTATACATTTTTGTGATTAGTAATATATTATGAATGCACTCTTGAATCTGATTTATAGTTAATTTTCCAATTGGTTGATTTTATTTTAATGAATGCATGTAGTTTTGTAAAAACCTGTTGCATTATTGCATTTGGTGTATTGAATGTTTTCTTTGTGTACATATGTATTTTTGGGGTAATCATTGTTTAGTTTAATATGTATTACAATTTATATTTAACTTTTTATTGAAATCATTATTATAAAAATTTACATGATGATGAATTTTTCTTGATATTTTAGTGAAAGTGTTGTAGCAGTTGGGAAAAAAATAGTATGCTTGATTTCCTTTAATTGCATACTGATTGCCTTTTTATTTTTGCATACTTGTTATATATTATACGATCAACAAGATCAAAATTACATGATCAAATGCTCCCATGATCATATCTATGGTATATCACAGGCAGATATGAAAAATGGCAGATGAGGTAGACCAACAATGTAGACTGAACAGCATAGAATGGAGAAAAGTGTGAGTTAAATGCAGTAAAAGGCTGTTGTCCTTTTGGTAAATCATTTAATGAGATTTTTAAAATATTATCATGCAATGGATACTTGTAGATGCTGGGACTACAGAGCCATACCTTTAGAGGAATAGAAATCACAAAATACTAAAGAAGATTGTTAAATGGAATTCCATAGAACTTGTGTAAAAATCTGTACTAAAATTTTTTCTGCCTTTGGATGTAATGCCAGGGAGATATTAGAGTCTCATGGAAAGGCAAATTTGTTAAATCTGAAGATTACTTATTCTTAGCATTACATTTATTGGTGAGAAACTCTAGCAGAGAACTTGCAGCAGTGATGTATCGTACGGAGTCATTCAACATGTTATGTGATTTAGTAGCTATATACAAATATGGAGGATGCTTGATAAAGAGTATCTATTTTTACCCTGGCACCATGATGAGGCTTTGGACCATGAAGTATAGGCTGGGCACAGCTGGTTTTTTGACCGGCTTCTTGAGGAGTGGGGCTGGCATGTTCAGAACATGGACACAACCCTATTAAATATTTCTGACAGGAAATGGATTGTCAGCTGCAAGACTATGCCAGAGCTAAAACTTGCAACTACTCTTTTTCACAAGTGATATGTTATTCTATCTGAAACATAAAAAATAAATAAATAAATAAAAAATGTAGTAGGTTATACTTCTTAAGAGAATGGCAATACTGATTACAGTAAACAATAGACTGATTCAGTATTGATGTCTGTAATATGAGCAAAACTGAAATGCTCTGAGGTATTTTTAATCATAAATGGTATTTTTAATCATAAATGTTTGAGTTCAGTTTAGTAATAAATATGTGCTCTTTGAAATTTATAAAATTTTGGATTAATTTCATTTTTGGGACTCTGTATTTTGTGTGAAGCATGTTTCTTAATTTTTCTTTCCATTTAACTTTGTTGTGAAATTCTTTTCCTGTGTTTGCATTTTTGGAATTATTTCAAAGAATTTATTGTATAATAATAGAAATACAATGTATATCTTCTACATTATGGAAAAAATCATTGATAACTTATCTTTGGTTTATAGAGAAAATTAAAATGAATACATAAAAGAAGAAACAAAATCAATTTGATCAGATCATATCCTTAATAAGTAATCTAATACCTTAATGGCTAAAACTGTTAAACACTGCTAGTTCACCCCATGTTCTACTCCCAGCATATGGATGATCTGTCTACTAGCTGAAGACTAGTTTAATTTGGAACTCCTACTCAGAGGCACCCTAATCATAAAGAAAACCCAGATTTGTTTTGCCTTAATAATTTTATCCAGCCTTTTTTTTTTTTTTTCTTTTAACATCTGTATAAACTGTGTTTGTAAAATAGATGCAAATTCTAAACATCAGTGTTGTTGAATGTTGCATACATATTCTGTTTTATAAAAGGCTAAACAGAATATTTATGGTGCTAGAGGTTTGAGATTGTCAGACCTGACAGATCACAAAACAACAATGAAATTTTAGGAATGAAATTGCATGCATACATTACAACTATTAAAATGATTTAACTTCATTTTGAGATTTTAAATATGGTAGAAATCAACAAAGTGTAACAAGCTTTTGACTTTATTTGTATATTTGTAATACTTTTATTTAAATGTATTTATTAATTATATAGATTATTATGCATTACTGTATGATTACATCAGTTTATGGTAAAATGGAAGTATTCCTGCAATGTGGGCGTTGTTATACAACAATTTCAATTTAATTAGATGTGGACTGCAATAATTAATATTTTATTCTTAAACCTTAATCACATGCGTGCCATCTTTCAAGTGATGACTTACTACTAACTACAACAGCAATAAAAACTGAGCGAGCATTTACAGGGTTGCTGTAGTGAACATCTGCGACATGCAGGGCGCCAAGAAGAGAAAAAATGACGTAATCATACCGTTAAATACTCCTAATGATTTAACAGGAAGTAAGATTCTTAATACTGCATAAGCTTTTAACGATAATCAAAAGCGATTTAAAATTTTTCCAGTCTCATTAAATATTGTTTTTTTTGCTTAACCCTTTGATGCGCGGTGGTCGCGCCTTGAAACCACCAATTTTCAATTTTTTTTATCCTCTTCTTTCCAAACTTTTTGAGTGAAAATCAATTGATTACTGATCTTTTATCTCTAAATAACAAAATGACTACGGAATGATACATGTTTTAGGTCTTAGTACTTCAAATCGGATACCTTTTAATTAGTTTCAATGAGACAAAATACTTCCTTTAATTAATATAAACAACTTTAAATTTCAAGTTATTCATCGCACAATGTTTCTATCATAAGCAATTAAATAGCAATAATTAAACTGCATATATATATTATATAAAAACCTCTATATGTATGCCATTTGCTTTGTGGTTTCAGGGCACGATCACTGCCCCACTAGAGCATTGTGTCACAATGCTCTAGAGGCTCGGTGGTCGTGCATTGAAACCACTGCTCTTCACAATGGCGGTTGCTTGCTTCTCAAATAGGAATGTTTATTTTTACTTGGATATAGGTAAGAGGTTGTGAAATCACAGAGTTATTTTATTACTAAACAATACAGGCACCTGCTCAGTAAAAAGGTCTTTCTTTTCCAGAGACTTTTCTCTGACCTCAACACACTTGCTCCTCTAGTATTGTGATTTTATAATTGTTTTCCTGTGGTTTAAATTTAATGTAAATGTACTTTGCTGTAATTAAAAATAGAAATCACGTAAAGTTTTATTTAAATTAAAAATATTTTCTGAATATGAGACTAAATACGAATAAAATAAGTATGAATGGGAAATGAATGATCCATACCAAAACCAAAAAGTCCAAGCCCCCCCCCCATTAACAAAAAAAAAAAAAAAAAAAAAAAAAAAAAAAAAAACACATATCATGTGCCAGATGAAAAGAAACTAAATAACGCTGTACATATACCAGTGAAATTTAGATCCAATCAGTGTACATTTTGTAGCATAAAGAAGAAACATCATAGAAGAAGATACATGTGTGAAACGTGCAATGTGGGTCTATGCATGTACCAAAAAAGACAAAACATTGTTTGAACAGTGTCACAAAAAATATTTGTTCTTTGCAATTAAAAAAAAAAAGTCTTTTTTTTTATCCTTATTTTACTGAGTTTTTTAATCCGTGTAGCCAAACGTCCTTGTTATGTAGGTACTTATACTTTCACTGCTATAGAAAAATTACATAAATGTTTATTTTTTAATTTTTCCTGATGATTTAGTTTGTAAAATAATGTAAAGCAATTCTTACATGCATTTTTTTTTTTTTTTTAAATTTATTAATTTCGTCATTTATTGGAAACGCGCACGGAAAAAGGTACGTCCCCCCCCTGCTATCTAGGTAAGTTTCAAAGTCCTAGATGCGAGGTGGTTTCACAGTGCAGCCACCACTCACAAAACAATGGGCAAGAGTAGATTTTTTTTTAATTCATATATTATTCGTCTCTAGGATCATAATATTCAATTTCTGGAGTTTTTAGTTAAAAAAATTATAAAAATGATATCGTGTGCATCATTGGGTTAAGGCGTAAAATGTTAAGATGTAGATAGATGCTTTCGTAAGTAATATGCAGTGTAAATTGCACTTGCTATTGCTTGAGGAAATTTAATTGTGAAGGGTAACATATTTATGAAAGTTAATAATATTTGTATTTTCGATTATTTAAATTTTGTTTAGCATGAAATAAATATTTATTAGTTAATTTTATTGAATTTTCTCTTGTAGATCAAATATTTCAGAGCATCAAAGGATTAAAACAAAATTTGGTGTATCTTATGTATTCCAGTTGATTTTCTGAAGCTCTTCAACTTGAAATATAATTAATTATGCTTGAAAGTTAATTAAAGAGCAAAAATAGCACCTTGAATTAACCTTTGAGCAGAATGTTTCTTAATTGATATTTTTATTTTACCGCTTAAAATGATTTAATATCTAATGCAGTAAAACTTTCCGCCTAATACAAAATCCATTTAACAGAATTTCAAAACAAATAAATATGAGAAAAGATTTGCTGATCAATACAATAAAAGTATAACACATGTTCAATCACTATTACCAAATTTCTATAAATTTGCTGTTTCATTTTTAATTTTATATATATATATATATATATATATATATATAAGCGGCTAAAGTGTGTGTCGCCGCTGTTTATTGTTGCCACTCGGAAAAATGAGTGCGGAAATTAATGTTTCCACAGTTTTTAATTAATATCTCAGTCGATTAAAGCCGTACGAAGATGAGGACGGTATCAATGAATTCGGAGAAAGAAAACGTCTTGAAT